CGCCGAGCTCCCTTGGCTCCCCGGCACCAGCGGGACTTTTCTCCGACAACTTTCTCTCTCTTTCTTTCTCTCTCTCTCTCTCTCTTCTTTCTCTCTCTGGTTTCTATTTTTTATTTTTTTTTTCTTTTTAATCCCATCTGTGTTTTTCTTTAGCCTCCCATTTGAAAAAAACCCAAACGGTAATATACACTTCCATTTCTTGCTCAGCAGAAGCAGGGACGAGGGGGAGGGAAGGGCAATTGAAACGTGCTTTTTTTCCCTTCTTGTTTTAGTTTCCTTTCTCATGATTTCTTTTCTTTTCCCTTGTGATGTACAGAAATGCAAACAATATATATCTCTCATATTTTTTTTTTCCTCCCCCTGTCGTCGTCGTGTTGTTCTAGAATTTTTTGCTTTTGTGTGTGTTAATGTGGAGAAGAAAAAAAAAAAAAAAAAAAAGGCAGATGTGTTTTCTAAATATTTACGACCGCTGAACATTGTTATCTCCATTTTCTATATTTTGAAGAAGGGATTTAAAAGGGAAGAGAACCGAGCAGCTCTACACCCCAAAGGTAGCGGGCTCACTTTGATATCATGGGGTGAATTGCCCGTTGCCTCCTTGACTTGGCTACTGCCCCCTTGCCTGGGCTGGTGGCCAGATCCTGCTGCCGTGGGGGTGGTTTTCCTCCACCGCTGCAGGATGAGGCCGTTGGGTGCTGGGTTACCTGCCCCCCCCAAATTTGAGCACCCTGCAGCCATCCTGCACCCAGGTGCACGCATCCTGCATCCCAGCAGGATGGATGCCGAGCATCCTTGGTACCCGCCGTCCCCATCCCCATCCTCCTGCAGACCCCCCCAAAAAAACTCTGGACTCAGCCCATCACCCTGGGTGAGCCAAATCCCCCCCAGCACCCCCTAAAGCCACCGGGAAGAAGGGGTGCCCCGGGGGTGCTGCACGGTGTTGCCTTCCCTTTTAAATACCCGATCCCGTCTCCATCCATCCCTGCTGCCTTCCCCAGCCTTCCTCCCGGGTCTCTCCTCCTCCTCCTCCTCGCCCACACGCAACCTCCAGCCCCTCTTTCTCTCCGGTTTTCTTTGGGGCAGCGCACCCCGACACCCCTCACCGTGTCCCACCTCCATCCATCGCCTTCCCTGCATGTTATCCGGGACTTTGCCATGTTATAGAGCGACTTTTTAAGACCGAAACGCAGCCGGGTTACAGACACCAGCCAGCAAATCACCCCCTCCCCGTGGCCGCCCCACTCGGTGGCTGGCCACAACCTTTCCATTTAAAAAAATAAGGAAAAATTAAAAAAACCGAAAACAACAAAAAGCTAACAAGACCAATTTAAAAAATAATTAAAAAAAAAAATTCTAAGCAAAGCAAACGGGATTAGCCGAGGGGTCTGGATCGCCTTACTAAAGAGTCCTTGTCTTTTTCCCATTCTGCCCTCCAAATGTGGAGATTATTGTTTTCTTTTTTTATTATCGCATTCCTGTCACTGCCAATTGCGAAGGTAGGTATTTTGTCCACCTCTGCACGTTCACTTCTGCAGATGAGCCTGTTGAAAAGCACCGTAGCTTGATTTAATGTTATTTTCTCTTTCTTTCTGACTTTCTTTCTCTTCCTTTCTTGCTCTTCTTCTCTGTCTCTTTTTCATTTTGTCTCTTTTTGGTGGCTATTTATATATATATATTTTTTTTATTATTATTTGTATGGTTTTCCCCAGTTAGCTGCAAAGCCATGCTCTTCTCTTACGTTCTTTATTTATATATATATTTTTTTTTTGCCCTGTCCACGTAATATTTTTTTTCTTTCTTCCCCCCTTTTCTCTTCCCCGTCTCCTCGTGCCGTCGGTAGAATGCATTTCTGTGTCTTTCAGCCCTCCGACTTTGTGTTCGTTTCCATCCAGGGGCCGAGCACGGCTGCTCCCTTTCAGTCTCCCATTAGGGGCCGGGTAACGAAGGCAAAGTTAATTAGCGAGAAATAGGGGCAGGGGCCAGAGCTCACGGGTGGGAGCGGAGGCAGATCCTGGGCACAGCGGGGTTTTGGGGTGGAGGGATGGGGCAAGAAATGAGGAATCGGGGGATATGTGTGGGTTTAACCCCTCCTTGGGCCATGACAGAAAAAAAACTACCCCAAAACAATCCAGGGATAATACTGGGGGGGCTGCGATGGGGAAAGGTTGAAATCTTCCTCCATGGAGAGAGGCAGGTCCAGGGCACCATGGTCCTTGAGGGACAGGGGATTGTGTCCCAGCTCTGGCCATCCCATCCCTGCAAGCCCCCAGAGTGTTTTCCCTCTGGGGAATGGGCGAGCTTCTGCCCATTTGGATTTATTTGGGATGCTTTTCCTGTTGTTGCCTTCCTGCTCGCCTGGGCAGGAGACCCCTCCACCCCCAGGGGTTGGGTGGAAAAATCCCACATCCCGAGCCCGCGGCGTGACCAACCGGCACGGAATTGCTGCCCTGGGAAAGAGGAATCCCCTCTCTTTCTCTCTTCTTCTTCCTCCTCTTCTTCTTCATCTTCTCTGCTTTGATTTTCCCCTGCCTGGATGCTGGCTCAGCTGAACCCCCCCCCGTTTCAGGGGTCCGTGTCCCCCAGTGCTTGTGCCATGGGCAGAGGTGGCCATCGCCACCAGCCTCCCCCCCTCGCTGGAAGGTTGTTAATAAAACCACCCCAAATCCCCCCGTTTTGGCTCCAGCGGGCTGGCGTGTGGCTGGAGAGGTTGTCTCGTCCTTGGGGACAAGGAGGTGACGGAGGACACGCCACCGATGGGGTGTGGGGCAGTTTGTGCCACCCTCCTCTGCCTCAGGATGCTCGGGGACATGGTGGCCTTGTGTTCCTTTTGCAGCATCTTCATGGAGGTCCCCAAGATCCCACCCCCGGCACCTCCCCCACTTCTCTTTTGGGGAAGAAAAGCGGCATTTAGGAGGTGGTGGGACAGGCAGAGAGAACCTCGTCCTCCAGGACGGGGTGTGTTTGGGGCAAGGGACCTCTGGGGAATTGGGGTCGCTGGTCCCCAGCGGCTGTGGTGACACCACCCTGGCACCACCTCAACCGCCCTGAACCCTGTGAGATCCCCCTGGGGGGGATGCTCAGGGACCCAGCACCGGGCTGCCATCGGGAGAAGGAGACCCCCAAACCCACCCCTCTCCCCACCTCCCACCCCCCGAGCTGGACTGTGTCGGGACCAGCGATGCAGGAGCTCGTTTCCACCCATCTTTTTTGGTCTAGTGGTGTTTGCAAAGACGGGGAAAAATAACCCACCCAGGCAGTGGCTGCAGCTTGGAGGAGCTCAGATATTTGGGAACCGCTGCGTGTTGGACCCCAGGGCTGGGCAAAACCCCCCCCCCAAGCTCTCAGCAAGAGCCCAGCACGGGGGTTTGGCCGCGGCGGTGGCCCAGGGTTTACGGTCCCCCCTCACCCTGTAGGAGAAGTGAGTTGGTTTGTTTTATTTCTCCTCTCTCTGGCTCTGTCTCTGTCTCTGTCTCTCCTCCTTCTCTCGCTCTTTTCTTTCTCTCTTGCATTTTTGTGAATCTAATGATGCACTTATATTGCCCCGCTTTTCCCTTCTCTTCATACCTTACCTACTAAAGGAGGAAATGCCACTTTTTTGGTAAGTGGATGTTAACCAAGAGGGACTTAAAAAAAAAAAAAGCATATAATGGAAAAAAAAAAAAAAAAAAGGAAGCAGAAAGCAAAGTCTGTGTTGAGTGCTGATGAGGACTTAGCAGTTCCCTGCAGAGTCACAGCTCAATGCGTGTCCCAGGAAGAGCTCAGAGACATTCGTTTATCTCAGTAACGAGGACATTTGTGAAGTTTTGCTTTGGTTTTGGTTTGGTTTGGTTTCTTTTTTTTTTTTTAGTTCGATTTGATTTGGATGGTTTTTTTCTTCTTTCTTTTATTTCGGTTTCTTTTTGCCTTCTCGCCCCCCTGTCCCCACCCCCTGCCCTGCCCTCCATTGTCGCTCCGTGCCGTCTTCCTCGTTTCTTGGTTTGTTTTAAGCCGAAAGCCGTACTATCTATAAAAACTACACGTATCTGAACATATATCTCTTTATATATGTGCATGCCTCTGTGTGAGCAGACCCCCCCCATCACCTCCAGCCCTCTTTGGTTCGACCCCTTCCCCTCGGCTCAGTCTATTTACTCTCCCCCCTCCGCCTCCCCACCTTCCCCCCTCTCATCTTTTCTTTTTTTACCCCCATTTTCCTCCCTTCGTTTGGGTTTTACCCCCCCTTTTCCCTTCCCCTTTCTTGGTCGAGGCGGGTGGGTGCCGGGGTTTTGCTTTATCCCCGCTCCAGGTGTTTTTGGGAGGGGGGGGTTGTTTCTTACCCTTCGAGCTCTCCCTCCCTGACGACTTGGGGGGGTTTCTTGGATTTAGGTTTATTTTTATTTTTTTTTTTGCTCCTCTCCCACCCCTTCCTTTGGGTTCGGTTTTCCTTTTTTTATTATTTTTTTAATTTTTTTTTAAATTTTTTATTTTTAAATTTCATTGGAATTATTTTATTTGGCGTTTTGCATGCGGAGGTTTGCATGACCCACGTTGTTGAGGGTGAGAGGAAGGTGCAGGGTAGCGTCTGTGTAGCCTGCCTTATGCGATGTGCGTTGACGTTGTGAACCGCGCCCCCCGGCCCGGTGCCCCCCGTTAAAATCCCCTTTCTCCTTTCTTCTTTTCTTCCCCGCCCCCTTCCACCTTTCCCCCCCCATACCCTTCTCTCTCTCTCTCTCCCCCCTTTGCCAGAGGCCGGCCTCGGCGTCCCCCTCTCCTCGAGCTCACGGCAGGACGGACCCTCCGTCCCCCCGCAGCCGGGGGGGCCGACACGGTGCCCGCAGCCCCCGCTCGCCCACGCCGGAGCGGGCCAAGCATGGCCACCGGCATCGCTCCCGCAGCTCCTCGCCGCCACCTCGCCACCGTGGCCAGAGCAAGGGACGGCCACCGGCCCCCCGGGAGCCCCCACCGCCGCCCCTCAGCCCCGCCGGCTACAGCAGCGACTCGGAGGGCTCGGCGGGCTCCCAGCCCTACCACCCACCGCTCGGCCCCGACAGGAACCACGGCGCCCACGCCAAGAAGTAAGGGGGGGTCTCCGGGATGGAGTCATGCCATCCCCGCCAGGACATGGGAGCTGGTGGCTGATATTTGGGGTCACCAAAGTTTGGGCACCCCCAGTTCCATCTGGGCGAAGCTCTGGGGACCAAGCTGGGGATCAGGGTGGGGTTGGGATGGGGATGGGGATGAAGATGGGAATGAGGATGGGGATGAGGATGGAGATGGGAATGAGGATGGGGATGGGGGTGGAGAAGGGGATAGAGATGGAAATGAGGATGGGGATGGGGATAGAGATGGGGATGGAGATGGGAATGAGGATGGGGATGAAGAATAGGGATGGGGAAGAGATGGGGATAGAGATGGGAATGAGGATGGGGATGGGGATAGGGATGGAGATGGGGATGGGGATGGAGAATAGGGATGAGGATAGAGATGGGGATGAAGATGGGGATGAGGATGGAGATGAGGATGAAGATGGGGATGGGGATGGAGATGGGGATGGAGAATAGGGATGGGGATAGAGATGGGGATGAAGGTAGGGAAGATCCACAGTGGGTCAATGCCACCACACTGCACGAAGGGTCATTCCCTACAAGGGATTATCCCAGTGCGAAGGGCAGTGCCTGGATGGCTGTGTGGGATGGTAGGGT